CCGGGTCACCGGGACGACGGCGGGGACATCGGGCCTGCGGCCGAGATGCTAGAACTGGTTGATGGAACACATAGCCCGTGGGGCGGGGCCGCTGCTGTTTACTTTGAGTGCTAGGTGCCTCAGAGACGGCGGCGCGAGGGACAGAATTCGGGGCTTCACCGCAGCCGGATTGCCCGCCGAGGCCCGGCCGGGCAAAATGAGACCGACGCCTGCAAATGTCATCAGGGTGTGTATGGGTGTCGTGTGAGTGGGTGGGAGAGGCACGTTGAGAGCAGAATTGTGGTTAACAGGTTACTGGCGCCCTTACTGGGCCGCAAACGAGATATTCCCGCAGTTAGGCAGGCTTCCTTGACAAAAGCTAGCTCCAGCGACGCCCGGCCCAGCTGATGAATTTGTGTTAATTTCTGGTCATTAATCTGTCGTAAGTCCGCTAATGGTTGTGCGTGCCTCAGTCAGTAGCGCAAGACATTTGTGATCGTTGCACGCAGACGCGAAATTGGCAAATTGGTACATTATATTAATGGCTCATTACCACCATATCAACAACGGGTGCGATGCCAGCCAGCTGTAACAATCGCGCGCTCCGTCGCATTATGTAATGTGTATTGATCTGCCGAATGAGATGGGAAGCCTGCTAGAGGACGCAGGCCTGGTCACGTGTCGTTGTTTCGACGCCTTGCGTCAGCGAGGTGAGCGGGGTTTAACCTCTGCCGAGGCTAGAGGGGGGAAATCCGCGATTGTAGCTGCCGGCAGCCATGCTCAGGGCAAAAGTTGAGCGATGGCGAGACAGCAAGCCGCGCTCGCAGCGGTGTCAACGATTCCGCCCGCGGCCTAAAGACGGCGCGCACCAACTGCAGGGAACGGCGCCATTGTACAGGTATTCTCACTCAAGGCAGCATTTTGCAGTCTTATTTATGGTCTTACTTGGCGCGTGATCGAGGCCATTTGTCCTGCACGAGCCACATTTTGTGCAGTTTGGATGGAAATTTAATGCGCTCTCATCGGAATGGTCCAAACGAGGAAATGAGCGCCATGCAATGTGTGTCATTAGGCTATAATTTACTAGATAGCTGCCACGGCCGGTGAGAGCGGCGGGGCGTGACGCCCCCGACGATTAGCCGTTTCCGAGCCGAACTCCTCCGCGACATAGCTCCTCGGCCTGGGAAAGGAGAGGGGAGGGGCGAGAGAGCAGTCTGCAGCTGACGGAAAGGGGGAGGGGGAGGGGGTGAACGGAGATGCTCTCGGTAGACTTTTGTGCTTGAGGGAGAAGCTTAGTTTCGGTGCTGCGTCGGTTGGGAGGTGGTTTTATCTCTGATGGATGGGTCACGGTCAATGCAGGACGACTTGTTCGGCTTGGCGGGTTTCCTCGATGTCAGTCTGTCGGCATGCCCCCCCCCCCCCCCTCCCCCTCCCCCGCTCCCCGCTCGGCGGCTAGCTGGTGACGTGTCGATGGACGTGGACTCATTCTGTGTGCCGAGCTGGGGTGGGCTGTGGGGAAGCTGGTGTTGGTACTGGCGCTGGTGCTGGTGCTGGTACTGGTGCTGGTGCTAGTGCTAGTGCTGACGGTCCCCGCTTGAGGCGGGCCCGCCTGCCTGCTCGGTCTCCGCCCGGGCGTGGCGTGATGAGGCGCCCCCGCCCGCCCACCGGGGTACCCTTTGCCTTCGTCTTGGAGCGTCGAGTTATCCGGAAGCTGCAGAGCGACTGCGAGGCTCCGCCCGGCTCCTGCGCTGTTCCAGGAAGCCGTGTATTTCGGTAGCGGTCGTGTGAACCCAAACCTGCCACAGATCATTCCGCCAATGCGGCTGCTATCTCTGGCCGTGATCTGTGATCCGTGATCTGTCACCCGTCATCCGTGATCCGCCACCGTGTCCAAGTAGCACATGGACTCTGCTCATTCCGCTAGTCGGGGAAGCTGCTCGGCGATGCTTCCAGTGTGAGCCTGCGCCGGAGTCGACCCACCTCTGCCCCGTTCTCTGGCTCTGCTCGCTCTGACGCCCGCTCGCTGTCCGCAGGGCTACACGGACGAGCCCATCTCCAAGATACTGTGCAACATTAGCGACGGCGAGTCGCAGGAGCTGGACCGGTGGGAGGCAGCCGTGCAGAAGAACGAGCGCGCTGAGCCCAGCGAGGAGGGCAAGGACAACCTGCCGCTCAATGTCATCAACAACTACTTCTCGCTCGGCGTGGACGCCCATATTGCGCTCGAGTTCCACGAGGCCAGAGGTCAGTGACTCCGCCGGATGAGCGTATGGAGTCACGTGTGCCGAGGGCGTTCACGGGCCGATGGGGATATGTGCTCGGAGTTAAATGCGGCCGAAGTGTCTGTGCTGATATCCCATCTTGTGAGCGCGTTCTACGTGTCAGGAATGTGCGTGGGAGATAATCGGTGCGCGGTGGGCTCGACCGGCGCTCCCACGTCCGACGACCGGCGCTCCCACGTCTGCGGCTGTCGAACACGCCACGGCTACTTGACGTCACCATCGCTACCCAGGTCCCAGCCTCGGCCGCGTTCCCGGGTCGTTCACTACCGTCCTGTCCACGCACGACCCTTGTGCCTCCCCACACTCCGGCTACCCCCGCCTTCTCACACCCGGGCTCTCACTGCCTCCACACGCCCTGCCTCTCACTACCTTCCCATACCCGGTCTCCACCGGCTTATATCGTCTCCCCCGGCTTATATCCTGGCTCTTATCGCCTCCCCATCCCGGTCTCTCGCTGCACTGCCTGCTCACACCCGGTCTCTCCCGCCTCCTCACACCCTGGCTCCCCCGCTTCCTCACATCCCCTGGCTCGCACTACCACCTCCTTACATCCTGACTGTCACTGCCTCCCCACACCCTAGATCCCCTACCTCCTCACGCCCTAGATCCCCTTCCTCCTCGCACCCTGGCTCTCAGTTCCTCCCCACACCCGGGCTCCCCCTCCAGCCCTCTGGCGTGGCGGGGCTAGCACCAGGTCGGATCTTCATTTCATTGCCGGCGGTCCGGCTATTCGTGCCGGTTTGGGGCGTTGTTCAAATGAGGTTCCGATTGATCGCCGCTGCGTCGCGGCGACCGCGGCGGCAGCGCGCGCTGGACCGTGCTGAGGACGCCGACGCAGCGCCTGGCTGGCTGGGCGCGACGCCATCCGAGAGGGATGGCACCGCGCTGCCGCGGCAGCGCTCGGCAGTGGCGTGGCCGAGACCGCGCCGCCGCCGCGCCGTCGCCTCGACGCGCCGGGCGCCAGCGTAGTCCGTCCCCGGCCCGACGGCCCGCGCGATCTGCCGGGGCCAGGTGGCGGCGCAGGCCCCAACTGCAGAGCTAAGTCGCGTCCGTCCCGGTCGCCGCCGAGGTGTCGCGTCTGCCGCTGCCGGATTGGCTATTTCTGGCGCGGCTGCGGTGGTCGGCGCGCTCCGAAAGCTCGGGGCGCGGCAGGCGGCCAATCAGCGCCAGCGCCGCCGCCTCCGCGTCGACACGGCCGCCGCCGGCGCTCGGTGACCCGTGACGTCATCACGTGGCTGGGATGTGGAGCTTCGCTCGAGACAAACTCCCCGCGGCTGGGCTGGCGGCTGTAGGCGGGTGCCGTTTACGGATGGGATCCACTCACCTCCGTATCTGTGCCGGAGGGTGTTCTGCGCTCAAGGCAGCCTTGCTATCCTATTCGGGCGGCTGTTCCATTCGGGTTTAGCCGGCGGCTGTGCTTGCTGAAGATGAAAAACAAATATTTTGCACCTACGTGATGGCAGACGTATAAAACACAGGCAAGTAAGGATCGCGGCTCGGCTGACACTGCCTCGGCACGGATGTGTGACTGCCTCGTGAGTCAGGGTCACGGGGCTCCTGCATTGCAACGTCAACCGATTGCGGGAGGCGCGGTGTTGAAATCGCCGGTCCGTGGACTGATGATGATGATGACGACGATGATGATGATGATGATGATGATGATGATGATGATGATGATGATGATGATGATGATGATGATTTGGGCCTTGGGCGCACCGACTACGTTGGTCATATGGCGCCCATAGGCCCGTAGACTGGAACAGCCGTGCAGCCATATGCATGCTCAGGCGAGGGGGTGAGCCGAACGATTATGCAGTCCCGAAAGCGTTCCGATGGGCCCGAGGGAAGCACTCTACAGCTCTGCAAGTTTGTGCTTTGGTACGAGCTAGGGTTCTAGGACCCGGGGCAGTGTGTGGGACGGTGTTTTACGCGGCTGACGGCTCTCGTTTAAGTACGGGCGAGCCTGATTGTCCCTGGGGCCTCCTGTTAGGAAATGCCTCCGAGCATTCAGCTCAAGCACGTTGACTCGATTAAATGCATCAAAGTTGTTTTAGTGAGTATCAACGAGGGCTTGGGGGGGGGGGAGCATCTGTAACATAAACACCGAGTTTCCCTAGCTCCATGCTCTCGGCTGCGGAAATGCCGTGACGCCCACATTATGGAGAGGAATATATGGCCCGAGCTTAGCGAAGGAACCATTTCGCGTTCTTTCCTTATCCCTTTTGCTCTATTTCTCGTAGCCAGAACGTCGGATACGAGAATGGCGGTTTATTAGAATAGCTCGGAAATCTGGATGAATCCGGGAAGAGAAAACCTTTGTGGAATGCCGAGGTTTCCATGAGCCTGACTGATGCTCAAGCCCAGTGTGAGTTATCTGTCGCCGTCCATAGCGATATTGCTGGAAGGAAATCATGCGAGAACTCCGTGCGTAGCTCTGGCATCTGATGGCCCATCTGACATTCTGTGAGTCGCACATACGCTAACGTACATCCCGTACTTTTAAATTAACGTAACATAGCATAGGTGGTTTTCGCCGTTATTCATTGGACGATTTGGTCACGTCTTCAACGGATACGAAACTATGTAACTTATAACTATCGACGCGACTTCTCCGGACCCAAGGAGTGCGAATGCGAATGACATTTGCATGACAGCGAGACCAGGCGCCTGTGCTGGCCGCCGCTACGGCCGTAGGCAGCCGCTGCCTGGCACGGCGTTATGACCACTGAAGAGGAGGAAGTGTGGCCCGTGGCTGGGGGCGGCCAGACTAGCTTGTGTAGCGTTATTTGCGTCGCGCGTGACGACCAACACTCGTTGATCTGTCGCCGGACGAGGTGGGGCGACGGGCGGCGACGCAATACTCTGGTCTCGTTGAGATGGGACGCGGCCGGAGGAAGGCTGGCCAGAGTCCGCGTCTGCCGCGGGTGCGGCGCACCTGAGACGGCCTGACCACCGTGCAGCGTTCAGGCGCTTAGGTGCACGTGCCGGCTGGCTCCCGCCTGCCCCCAAACGCCTGACTCGGTCGCTAAAGGGAATGTTTCACATTTGAAGATATTGAGACAAGCATCGGATACGATGCAACATGCTCACATACAACTATCGGTATACCTTTTAAGTAGAAACGATTGCTCAAGACAACACAAAGTCTTTGTTTAGTGAAAGTGTTTCTCGATGCGTCATTGTTTGACTACGCCATCATGCTTTAGACATCATTGATTGAGAGCCGATTGACGGCCGTTGTATCTGGAAATCGTGCTCACGAACGCCAGACATAAGCGTTTCGACCATTGTAATTTTTCAGCCTTGATCGCCACATGGCTTATGAGATGGCAGAAATTGAGTGGCCTTATTATGACGTCATAAATGTCATGTGACTTGGAAATACTCTCCCCGATATACTTTCTTCATTTTCGCGGGCGTGTATGTCAGAAACTAGATTAGGTCTTAAGAAGGGTAGGGCTGTGAACTGCACCGAATGATCTTCAAGATGACTATTTCAGTTTAGAACCCTACCGAAATGTGGACACTCTCTGTAAAGTGTGATATTTGACGGCGCGCAGGACTGCTTCAGTGCTACAGTGACTATTACCTCTGCTCTAGCTTCATTGGCGTTGCACTCTCCCCCACCGACAGGAGCGGGGGGGGGGGGAGCTCCAGTTTCACCAGCCAGGCTCGACCCACGCCTCTGCGCACGGCTTGGGCGAACTCCCAGCATTGAGGTGCGCTCTTCCGCGGCAGCTGCAGGCCATGTGACAGGTACACGGTCAGCCTGAGGGCCGCCGCTGGCGCTGAGCGTCCCACCGCAGCCGCGCCGGGCCAGCCGAGAACGGTGCGGCACTCCCGGTGCTGTTTGGACCCGGCTCCCTGCCTCATTGCGGGGCGACGAAAACGCAGGCGCGCACAGAACGCCTCATCTCATCTCAGAATGCCATCATCTCCCGCCGGCCGACGGCTCGGTCGTGACAGCCAGCCACGCACGCAGGCCCGCAGGTATCAGCTGCCGGCGGACTCGGCAGCGGGAACTACGCCCATCGCGGAGGATATCCGGTTCAGGTTATAGCACCTCGGAGCGTATCCGTTTCAGGCCTCACGCGCGAAAGCGTGGCGCCCGGCATACATTCACGGGAGATATTCTGGACACGAACGCAAGCGGGGGCACGTCTTGATATGGCGTGAAATTTGCGTGCGTACAGAGCCCACGCACGGACATCTGGTGAAATTGTCAGCAGCTGATGTCAGCAGACGGTATCAGGGGCTGGGGGGGGGGGGGGCATTAGAGGTCCAGTGGGAGGGGCCCCGTGCCCACTACGCGTGAGCGGGACGCGCCGGGAGGCCGCTCGCGAAGCTGTCTCCGTGTCCGCAGCGTACTGGAATGGCCGACAGCGTCCGTCGCCGGCGCCGCGGGAACGAACATCCGCTGCACAGTCCGCCGATCAGCCAGATGGCGCCAGCGAGAGGTGGATATGATCTGCGTGCTGGCGTCAGCGCGGGGGCGGCGGCAAAGGCCGCGACCGGTCGCAGGCCTGGCTTGGAATGCCAGGGACGGCTACCTTTCCAGGGTGCTGTACGCGTGACCAAGATTATGACGAATGCAGCGCCGACGCTGGCTGCGTTCAGTGTGATGCCTCGTTAGAGCATGGAGCGTCAGCCTATCGACAGGCGGACAATGAGAAGGCTGAATTCATCGAGACGGACTTTGCTTTTATGTGTTGCGCTCATTTGTGTTCATTGTGTGCTGCGCAGGGGCATCCGTTAGACCCGCGGTCATAATTCAGTCGTATATTTCTACCTCGTCTCGTTGTTCCTTTCATGGCGGCTGTGCTCTTTCCGTAATCCAATAGCCGGTGTTTTTTGCCTGCAAAGCGTCCGCAAAGGACACTTTCACGGAGGGCGGGTAATTGACAGTCGGTATTGATTTGTGGTCTCGTACCTAAATAATTGGTAGACAGCAATGCTGTTGCGTCTGGACGGCTCAGGCTTCGCCGGCGTTGGCTGAGTTGAATGCGTACGGCGCACTCAGCCGTTGGCTGGCGGAAGCGGCGTGCGTGCGGCCGCGAGCGTAAAGCCGCGGCCCGCCCTCGATGCGCGGCAGTGCGCGGCAGAACGCTGCTGGGTGATTTTAGTGGAGTGGAGCGCATAGTACGCCTGCAGCTTCTTACCCTCGCTTTATACGACCCAATGTGCAAGGCGTTTGAAATGCTCGCGAGCTTCGACAGAAGTGTTTTGTTGGTGCGTCGCTACTGCGCTCTCGATGACCGGTGTTCGCGCCGCTAATTTTGGTGCATCGGCTTCGCTGGTGCGACCGTCGTCGGCAATCTGTATTTGTCCGCTCGGTCGCGCCGCTGGCTGGTGTTTGTTCGTTCGGTCACGCCGCTGGCTGGTGTTTGTCCGTTCGGTCACGCCGCTGGCTGGTGTTTGTCCGTTCGGTCGCGCCGCTGGGTGGTGTTTGTTCGTTCGGTCACGCCGCTGGCTGGTGTTTGTTCGTTCGGTCACGCCGCTGGCCGGTGTTTGTCCGTTCGGTCACTCCGCTGGCTGGTGTCTGTCCGTTCGGTCACGCCGCTGGCTGGTGTTTGCCCGTTCGGTCACGCCGCTGGCCGGTGTTTGTCCGTTCGGTCGCGCCGCTGGCTGGTGTTTGTCCGTTCGGTCACGCCGCTGGCCGGTGTTTGTCCGTTCGGTCGCGCCGCTGGCTGGTGTTTGTGCGCCTGATCAGCCCCGCCGACTGGCAGCGATCGTGTGATCGCCCCGCTGGTTCTTCGTTGATGGCGTCGGCGTCCGTCCTCTTGATGGCCCGTGCTGACGGCGTGCCCCGTCTGCTCACACAGAGGCTCGACCCGACAAGTTCAGCTCCCGGCTCCGGAACAAGATGTTCTACGGCCAGGCGGGCGGCAAGGACCTGCTGCAGCGCCGGTGGAAGGACCTCTCGGAGCACGTAACCATCGTCTGCGACGACCACGACATCACGCCGAAGCTTCGCGAGCACAAGGTGCACGCCATACTCTTCCTCAACATCCCCAGGTGGGTGGCACAGCGGCCGTGCAGCGCGTGGTGACGGGTGGCCTGTTGACTCCACCTGCGGTTGCTCTGCAGCCGCCGGGCCGCCCCGTCCGCCCGCATCAGCTCCCGCTGAGGCACATTTTCCGCGGTGCTCTCCTGGCTGGTTACGCGACAGTCTCGTCTGCCTGAGCGATATGAATGTATGCATTGGGGCTAACAGAGTTGTTTGCCCGGCGGTCTCCCCCGGCGAAAAGGCGTGTTGATGTTAGCGGCGGCGCGTTGCCTGCACCCGAGCAGCGCGCGTGCGAAAGCGCACCCGCTTAGAACACCGGCGGCGTAACAAAGCCTGCCGCTGGCTGTTAAAGTCGGGCGCCGCTGGCTGCGCGGCTCGGCGGCCGGGTCCTGAGCCCGCCTGCGCCAGCGCCCGGCGCCGCCTGATCCCGTCCCGGCAGCCGCATTAGCGGGGTTTAGCAGCCAGCGCCTGACGCACGGCCGGCCGCGTCCGTCCATCAGCTGCCGTGCACGGCCGGATGGGGTCAGGGCAGCCGCGCCGGCGGACGGGGCGGCGCGGCCGTCTCGGCCGTGGGAGCCGCTCCTTCGGCCGCCGGACGACCATTCCTGTGCGTGCGTGGATGATGTGAGGACACTGATTGGACGCGCCGCCCGCTCGTCCGGCTATGAATAGTTCGGCGTATCGACCGCCGCGGCGCCGTCGCGACTCGCCGCCGTCCGCGGCGGATCTGGCGCCGGATCTGCAGACGCTTGGATGCACCGCATGTCTTGCGCACCGGTGCCGTTCAGCCGGCCGCCCGGCGGAGGCGGCGGACCGGCCCGCGGTCGCGGCGCAGGTGATGTGAGGGTGCCGCGGGCGCGCGTAGTCGCCACAGAAGGTGGCCGCGTCGGCTGAGATCCGTTCGGTTCCAGAGGCTGAGGTCCGGACTCGTTGCACATGCTATTGAGACGAGCGGGTCGGGAACAGGTGCTGCCCTGCCGCCCTTCATAACCGGTAGCTTGTGGTTTTGCGGAAGAGCTGCTGAAGTAGTCGGTGGATGATGAAACGCTGATGAAGCTCCTGATCCCGTGGGCAATGCCAGTTAAAGATGGTGGCAAAGATGGCTGTAACAGCCCGTTGCAAGTTGAGCGTGATTACAAGCATGCAGGAATGAACTGGAGAGATTGTGAAGCTCTGTCAAATAAGCTTGCGGCTATTAGTGATTGTATAATCACAAACATGCGTACTCGGCATTCTTGGTTGTATTCTGGATTCCTCAGTCCAATATCGATACCAATGACCGGAAGGTGTCGAACATTCCTCGTTTTGCCTGTGCGGGCAAAGACGACCTTCCGTCCCTTCTGAGCCCCCCCCCCCCCCTAACCGGGGTGGAGGGGAAGGGAGGGGGGCGGATTGATCAGTCAGGAGCCGCCAGCGGCTGGTCAGAAGGCGACGCTGACCGTTTGGAGCGGAGCTTCGCTGTGCATATTTGGAGAGTGACGCATCTAATAAGGAAAAGTGTCCCGGCTGGACTCTGTACAGTACTGCCTTACGAAGCTTATATTCAGTGACGGTGTCAGGTAGCAATACAAAGATGACTTGTATGCGAAAACGTCAATTTGCAGCCTTGCTTTGCGCTGCTACACTAATGTGATTACTGTTTTTGCTTTTCATTCATCAGCGACATTGCATGGCATGCCACAGTTTTGACGGTGTTAATGGATGTCGTATCGCCACATGTAATGTAATTTCGCTACACTCGGCAAAAGTTTTTGTTTGCTTGGTGGACGGCGGTTCTTGCTGGTAGAGGCGTAAGAACTTCCAATAGACTGGGTACGGGGGTGGTTCTTGATCCATTCTTCCCACGCAGTGCCACGGAGCTTACTGCTACCTGGTGTGAGCTACAACGTCTGTCTTCTCCGCCTGCTGTCAGCCAGGTGGACTGACCCCCGTGCTGTGATCTTCACCACGGCCTACCCCGTGCACGGGGCTCTGCGTGTCGGCGCCGGCTCGTCCTCCCATGTGTTGCCGGCCTCCTTCTGGTCTGTGATCTTCACCACGGCTTACCCCTCGCGCGGGGCTCTGTGTGTCGGCGCCGGCTCGTCCCCTCATGTGTTGCCGGCCCCCGTGCTGTGATCTGCACCACGGCTTACCCCTCGCGCGGGGCTCTGTGTGTCGGCGCCGGCTCGTCCTCTCGCCTGTTGCCGAGCGAGCACGGACCGGATCGGGGCCGCCTCCCCTGCGTCTTGGCCAGTCTGTCGCACCTGCTCACACAGCCGGTAGGATGCGCGCAATTATGCCGAAGAAATCTGTAGATCAAGCCCGTTATTAATAGCGTTTGTGCTTACCCATAAGGCTGCGGATTCTGGTGCGCTCAGCTGGGAAGGCTGTGCTGCTCTTGGATGCTCCGAGAATAGGCAGCGGCTGGGTTGGCGGCCGGTTCGCCTGGTTACTGCTGTGACGTCATTGGTGAATGTTTGTAACGAGATCGATAAGGTACTTCTATAAATTGCACCCTTTTTAGGCTACAATTTGCTGTTACGTGGCTACATATGGTTCATTTTATTCGTGATCGCTTTTAGGTCAGTGATGGGAGAGAAGAAGGCTGGATTAGTGAAATTAAGTAGTTCCAGACCCGTGCGCTTACACATTGCGATTTGAAAAAGATGCAGGGGCAGTTTCAGTGTTTGCAATCGGTAGTGTTTTATGTGGGGTCATGTGGTCCAGTTGCCTGGGCAGGAATATAGTTAAAAGGATATACCGGGCCTCACGTAAAGGTCTTTTTAATACATGAGGCACCTCGTTGTGTTTCAGTCACAATGCTGATGTGTACAAGGAAATGCCTCTCATGGCGCGGGTACATTAATGTGCGTGGCGATGTGAGGCTGACGTATTTCAGTGACATTGGATTTGCCGCGTTCAATTGTCAGGCTGGCGGCGACAGCCGACTGTCGCGTCTAGGTTGCAACGTCCAGTGACGGTGTGGCACCTGTCGTGTTTAGGTTGCGATGTCCAGTGACGGTGTGCCGTCCGCCGTGTTTAGGTTGCGATGTCAGTGGCTGTGTGACGTCCGCCGTGTTTAGGGTTGCGATGTCCAGTGACGGTGTGACACCTGTCGTGTTTAGGTTGCGATGTCCAGTGACGGTGTGGCGTCCGCCGTGTTTAGGTTGCGATGTCCAGTGACGGTGTGGTGTCCGCCGTGTTTAGTTGCGATGTCCAGTGACGGTGTGGCGTCCGCCGTGTTTAGGTTGCGACGTCCAGTGACGGTGTGCCGTCCGCCGTGTTTAGGTTTGCGATGTTCAGTGGACGGTGTGAACGTCCGCCGTGTTAGGTTGCGATGTCCAGTGACGGTTGTGCCGTCCGCCGTGTTTAGGTTGCGATGTACAGTGACGGTGTGACACCTGTCGTGTTTAGGTTGCGATGTTCAGTGGCTGTGTGGCGTCCGCCGTGTTTAGGTTGCGATGGTTCAGTGGCGGTGTGCCGTCCGCCGTGTTTTAGGTTGCGATGTCCAGTGACGGTGTGACACCTGTCGTGTTTAGGTTGCGATGTTCAGTGGCTGTGTGGCGTCCGCCGTGTTTAGGTTGCGATGTCCAGTGACGGTGTGGTGTCCGCCGTGTTTAGGTTGCGATGTTCAGTGGCTGTGTGGCGTCCGCCGTGTTTAGGTTGCGATGTTCAGTGGCTGTGTGGCGTCCGCCGTGTTTAGGTTGCGATGTTCAGTGGCTGTGTGGCGTCCGCCGTGTTTAGGTTGCGATGTCCAGTGACGGTGTGCCGTCCGCCGTGTTTAGGTTGCGATGTTCAGTGGCTGTGTGGCGTCCGCCGTGTTTAGGTTGCGATGTCCAGTGACGGTGTGGCGTCCGCCGTGTTTAGGTTGCGATGTCCAGTGGCGGTGTGCCGTCCGCCGTGTTTAGGTTGCGATGTTCAGTGACGGTGTGGTGTCCGCCGTGTTTAGGTTGCGATGTACAGTGGCTGTGTGGGGTCCGCCGTGTTTAGGTTGCGATGTCCAGTGACGGGTTGTGGTGGTCCGCCGTGTTTAGGTTGCGATGTTCAGTGGCTGTGTGGTGTCCGCCGTGTTTAGGTTGCGATGTCCAGTGACGGTGTGGCGTCGCCGTGTTTAGGTTGCAGATGTCCACAGTGACGGTGTGCCGTCCGCCGTGTTTAGGTTGCGATGTTCAGTGGCGGTGTGCCGTCCGCCGTGTTTAGGTTGCGATGTTCAAGTGGCGGTGTGCCGTCCGCCGTGTTAGGTTGCGATGTTCAGTGGCGGTGGTGGCGTCCGCCGTGTTTAGGTTGCGATGTTCAGTGGCTGTGTGGCGTCCGCCGTGTTTAGGTTGCGATGTCCAGTGACGGTGTGCCGTCCGCCGTGTTTAGGTTGCGATGTTCAGTGACGGTGTGGTCCGCCGTGTTTAGGTTGCGATGTTCAGTGGCTGTGTGGCGTCCGCCGTGTTTAGGTTGCGATGTTCAGTGCGGTGCCGTCCGCCGTGTTTAGGTTGCGATGTTCAGTGGCTGTGTGGCGTCCGCCGTGTTTAGGTTGCGATGTTCAGTGCGTGTGGTGTCCGCCGTGTTTAGGTTGCGATGTCCAGCGGTGTGGTCCGCCGTGTTTAGGTTGCGATGTCAGTGGCGGTGTGGTGTCCGCCGTGTTTAGGTTGCGATGTCAGTGCTGTGTGCCGTCCGCCGTGTTTAGGTTGCGATGTCCAGTGACGTGGCCGTCCGCCGTGTTTAGGTTGCGATGTTCAGTGACGGGTGTGTCCGCCGTGTTTAGGTTGCGATGTCAGTGACGTGTGACGTCCGCCGTGTTTAGGTTGCGATGTCAGTGGCGGTGTGTCGTCCGCCGTGTTTAGGTTGCGATGTCAGTGCGTGTGGCGTCGTCTTTAGGTTGCGATTCAGTGGCTGTGTGGCGTCCGCCGTGTTTAGGTTGCGATGTCCAGTGACGGTGTGGCGTCCGCCGTGTTTAGGTTGCGATGTTCAGTGCGGTGTGGTGTCCGCCGTGTTTAGGTTGCGATGTTCAGTGGCTGTGTGGCGTCCGCCGTGTTTAGGTTGCGATGTCAGTGGCGGTGTGCCGTCCGCCGTGTTTAGGTTGCGATGTCCAGTGGCTGTGTGGTGTCGCCGTCTTTAGGTTGCGATGTCCAGTGACCGTGTGCCGTCCGCCGTGTTTCAGCTACGGCGGCGGCACGCACCCGGGCCGGCCGGGACCAGTCGACTTCCGACGGTCAGATGGAGGTGATCGGCCTCACCACCTACCAGCTGGTCAGTGGCTCGCACGCAGGTCATTGCGTGTCCGACACCCATGGATCGACACATTTAATACCCTCGAACGTGTTCCCTCCATTTCCCGTTGCTGAAAAGGAGATGGCCGTCGTTTGCAGTCCGCAGAGTCCACGCGGCCCTGTTGGTGTAAAACTTCATTATGCGTGTCTGTAGAGTTGTTCCCGTATCTGGGACGGTACCGTCACATTGGGACAGGGACGTGCCATCAGTGGTGGCAGTGAACGGCACCGACCCCAAACCTGCCTCATCCGGGTAATTTCGCATGGCTGTGCCGTTCGCTGACGCCTATTAGATTGAAGGCGTGTCGGTTGGGCGCGCCCCAGGCCGGTTGACCTTGATCATGGTCAGCCTCCGCGGTCTCGCGGCCACCGTGGGTTGGCGACCTCCCAGTGCCGCCTAGCACGGCCAACTTACAGCGATTGGCTTGCTCTATAGGGTGGCCTGTAAGCAAAGTGTTGGAAAAGTATTGCGAAAAGTATTGTACCACGTTTGCCCGGTACAATTTTCGCGATGCTTCGCTTAGAGAGTTGATGAGAATGCCCGGACGGCGTGGTTGGTCGTACCAAACATCTCGAGACTGTTTTGTGAGACTCGCTTATTGACTGGAGCACACGGGATCCACAGTTGCTTGAATGATTGTAGATAACCCATGTGGGTAGCGAATGGTGCATTCCATATCCAGTTTGCTGGAAACGTATCAGACTGAGTGTCAGCCAGTGGAGCAGCAGGCGTCAGCGGCTGCTGCCCACCACCCTCCGGCCAGAGACGGCACGATCCGCCTCGTCCAGGCTGCGGCTCGGCCTGTCCGGCGCGCCGCTGGCGACGAACCTCCGAGCGCGCCCAATGGCCCGTGCGCCGCCCGGTGGTGCGCGGCGCCGGCCGCGCTTCGCGCTGCTCGCGATGGCGCCCCGGCCAGCTCGACCGGCGCGCCGCGGCGCCACGGTATCAGGCGAGAGCGCCGTCGGTCGCAGCCGCCGCGGCCGCCGCACCGCGCCCGGGGCGCCCAGGTCGGGGCGGCGTGGCTGGAGCTGCGCATCGTCGCCGGTGATTGGTCATGAAATATGTGTGGACGATGGCGGGGCTTTCGCCACTCTGGCACGCGCCGCGGCGGCTGAAATGAGGGGACCGCCGATGCCGTTTGGAGAGCGCTTTTCGCCGCGCCGCGGGATGAGGACGCCGTAAAGCGGTCGTCAAATGAATCATCTCGGACGCGGTACGGTGTTGGGCAGATCGGCTCGGCTATCGGGGATATGTAGCTGCCGGATGGTGGCGCGTCGAGATGGTGTGGAGAGATGGCTCTCCGAGAGGTCCGCCCCGTTACCAGTCGAACTATCGGATCAAGGATCGCTGAAGGTGCAGGGAACTGTGTCAGGTATTCTATCTTGCCCATCTAGGTGACGGTAGACCAGCCGGGGACAAAGTGAACCGCTTTGATCGCTTTGGATGGTACTTGTTTGCTGGAGTCCGGTCCTCAGAACTGGCCAGGACCATTTTACCCGACTGAGGCCAGAATAGCCATATTTCACCCGATCGAGGTCAGACTAGTCATATTTCCCCGGCCCAGGTCAAACTAGTCACATTTCACCCTCTAAGATCAGACTAATCATATTTCACCTGCCGAGATCAGACAAGTCATATTTCACCCGACCGAGGTCAGCCTAGTCGTATTTCACCCACCAAGGTTCAATCAGTCATATTTCTTGTCACCCCCCGGCGGCAAGTTGATACATGAAGGACCCAGCGACCGCCCACGCTGCATCTGGCTCCACTTTAGACACGAGTTTTCATTTATCTGTGCAGCTGACGCAGTGCTCTCTAATTGACTGATTTGACGTGCCCTTACGCACGTCATCCATGTTCGCCCTGCGTAAACAGTCGTTTTAATTGATGGGAACTTCTACTTCAAGCAGTGGAAAAGTCATCATGTGTCAAAGTTGCTGTCGTTGGCTTTGCTTCTTGAATCTAACGTGATTCCAAAAGTTGTTGATTTAGCTTGACTAATTCGAGACTCTTCGAGAGCTTTTGATGTTAATTGCATATTTAAATGGTCACCATGTGTACACGCTCGCTGATTTCGATCACTTTGATGAAGTTCAACGGAAATACTCGCATTTGACAATTTACGTATTAACTGAAATTCATGTTCTGATAGTTACCAGGTGACCATGGTGACCACTGTTGCCATGGTTACCATGGTGACCACTGGGCCACTGGGAATCACCTTCGATCCTCCAGGTTTGATTCTGTTTGTACTTTCGCGCTTCCTCCGACTTTTGCGAAGCACTTAATGACTACGGCAAGTGTTCCAGTCACGTAAGACAACACAAATGCACAGATGGGCAGACTGAGAGGTACGTGTCGGGTTTGAAGTTCGACTCGCGGCCAAGCCGGACACAGTTTTTGGAATGTCATCCGCGACCCAAACCTGATAAATGCTGCTACCCTGACAAGAAAGGCCTGCCACTTTTTCACACCTGAAAATAAAACTAGTAATGATGTACGGTAAGTAAGTGAAATAAAACTAGTAATAAGTTCCGGTGAGTTAGGGATGGCAGACCACGGACATGTTTTACATAGACATTTATATATTTGGTGAAACCTCAACAACAGTTCATTGGTACACCACCTTGACAAAACGAAGGCCGTCTTGCCAAGGAACGTTTCGTCTTCTTCGACAATGATGGCATATTGTTTTCCTTTCTCATTTATGCTCCTTCATTCATTGGATGCCTAACCGCACAACAAAGACCAGGTACGGCGTTCGTGGTGTTAGCCGCACATCTGGTGCGCCTGCTTTTTTAAGAGGAAAAACTTTGCGGGCTGCCACCGTTGTTATTTTGAATAGACACGGATGGAAAGCGCACTATTAGTACTAGATTTTACCACTCAGGCGGAGGAATAACAGGATTGTCTTGCGGTTGTCAGCCGCAAAATGATATTATCGTGCCCTGTGTTGAACGAGGGAACGCCAGACTGAAATCTATGGGCGCCGACGGTCCCTCCGTTCAAAGCAACAACAGCTCCTGGTCCCAGGGTTGTGAACTTTATTGATTTGTTTGTGATTATGACCTATTAGATGTCAGGTGACTGTTCCGCATTGATCCCTTTGGATCATTCCCATGGCTTGCTACTTGTCGATAATAGTGTATCCATGTGTAGCACTCGTTTGTACACCGCCGCCCCGCAATCGGCTGGACGAAATCGCATTGCTTAATGTCGCACGTTGAAATTGATATCGTTTTCAGTTGCGTACTGTGCAGGTTCAGTTACTTATGTTGGCCGCCATAGCCTGGTAGCTATGGCGACCCATGCTCTTTACGAGCTTTGGCCTGAGAGACATGGTTGATTGGTGGGTTGATTTTAGATAACGGAAAGTGTGAAAGGCGCCTAGTAAAGCAGCGTGGTAAAATGCTTTTATGTTTTGTGTAAAACAGCGCGTGACATGCGCTCTGAAATGTGCCCTTGGTACCGTCCGCTGCTGCGACGGTGGTTCGGTTGGCTGCCGGCACTATAAAAGCCTGTCATTCGCGCCTTATCGCCCCTGCGTATACTGCTAGGGGATTCCTGCTGCGAACGGCGTCGGTGGCTGTGCCTGTCGACCAGTAATGGCCAGTTGGCCTGAGAAATTGTCTCGTAAAAATACCCCATTCATTTGGCGATCCGGTTTTCTGAAACAGTTCCAGATGTTGGGGTATTGCTAAAGTTTACAATGGGGTCCCATCCAGCTGACTATGCGTCTGGGAGGAGGAGCGCTGTCACTACATGCCGCTGTGTCTATCACTACATGCCGCGTGTCTCGCTCACTGTCTCGCTGCGTTCGGGGATGCGGTGGCCAGACTTCGGTCCGAGTCAGCAAACGTCGTGGAGTCCACAGACGGTCTCATGCGTGAGTGGTCGACTGCTGAGGCAGAGTAATCTCGTTCCCCTGCGCGGCACACGTTGCAGCGGTGCGTCAGCTGGGAGGGGCGGGCGGTCGCTCGCGTGGGATCGAGCCGGGCAGAGAATTTACAAGACACGCGTCAGTCTGGCGCTGGGGTCCTGCCCACGCCGCCATACGTCAGAGAATCCGGGCCACCGCGCTCCTCCCAGTTCGGATCGGCCGATCGGACCTGCCGTCCACCAATCCGTCCGGTCTCACGGACGACTCGGGACGGGCCGCTGGCGCCCAGCGCGTCGTACGGCCTCGCCGGCCCTCGCTGGTCGAGCCGAGACCGAGATCGCCGAGGAGCCCCGACGAGCGCCGCGCAGGCGCTGCCGTCGATGTCACCGGAGCGGCGCCGGTGCGCCCATCCGCGCCCCGCGCGGCCGGCGGAGCGTCCCGGCACGGACTGACGAGCTCGCTGGACGTCGAATTTACCGTGGCGTCGCCTGCGGATAGCGCTGCGGCTTGGAGCGAGGAGGACGTGTCCGGCAGGTGGCCAGGACGGCCAGGCGCCGGTCAGCCAGCGTGGCTGTGCCGCGCCGCCCGGGCTGATTCGGGACCACCTGCACTGGCCAGCAGAGAGCGTGTGCAGACAAAATGGGATTGGTCCCTGCCCGGTAGCCGTGGACACTGTCAGCTGCTTTTACGCCTGCTGCTGCCCAGCTCGAGCCAACATCCCTCGGAGGGCTCTCGCCGCCTGCTATGCTGCTCCACTCGAGCCAAAGATTGTCGGTCTCACTTTTGATGCTTAAACCCGCTCCGGTAGAGTCTATCTCTGGCTGGTGTGTGCGTTGACCGCCACCGATACCATTCTCGGGGTGTCGTGACCACACTGCTAGGCTGGCCATTGCATTGCTGAGTTCATTTTGCAATTCCATTGTCGAAAATAGCCGCGGGAG